ATACCCCTAACGCATACTAGACACCCATGCGGGTGCCATCAGATGCTCAAAGCATGCTCTCGGGTACCCCCGAATAGGTCAGACACCCCACCTCGATCTGTCAGGTACCCCAGAGTATTCAGAATCTGAAAAACATGCCAAAATACCCAAAAGTACCAGGTGCCTTCATCCAGGAGCCATCAGATACCCTCAAATAGAAACATCTGAGACCCTACTCAGAAACCTTTAGATACGCCCCCGAAACACATACTAGATACCCCCAAACAGGTATTCAGAGTCTAAAATACATGCCAGACCACCCCCCACACAGGTGTTCTCAGACCCTGGAAGACATGCCAGGTGCCTCCCCCAGCACAGCCACCCCCTCAGGTGCCATCAGACTTCCCAGCTCTGAGGCTGCTTGTTCCAATCCAGGTGAGACAGTTGGGCAGTACCCAGGAGAGGAGCCAAGCACCTCTTTCACCAGTTCAAGCTGGCCAGCCAGGCCGAGATCTTTCCAAGCCAGACTCACTTCAAAACACCCACACTCTGTGGCCGAGAGCCCTCAGTTCAGAAACGGGGTGGCAGTCCCCAAGTGACCTGCCTTCAGTTTAAGTCCATTTCGTCATGGTCAAGAGAGGGATCACATCCAGGAAATCGGAGGTTCCAGAAGTGCAAGGACATGCTTCTGAGCTCAGAAACCGGACACAGATACTTTTGAGGTCTCAATGGGTGTGTAAATGTTCACTCTCTGAGTCCCTCTGACTTTTGGACTTTATTCCAAAGGCAGTGGGGAACCACTGAAGATTTTAAGCAGGAAAAGCGGCATGATCCTTATTGTTACAGCTACCTTGGTTATAGAAACCTTCAGGTTGGCACAGTTCTCCCCTAAATGTAAAAACCACCTTTCTCAAGGAGCCTGGCAACAAGGAGAGGTATCTCTCGTCTTTCTTTTATCTTTCCATTGTGCATTTATTATGTCCTTCTCATGGGCCAGGGACTCTGCTAAGAGCTAAGGAGACACAGGGAATGTAAGTCTATGGCAGTGTTTCTCAGTCTTGGCCCTATTGACAATTGGGGCTGGATAGTTGCCTGTTGTTGGGGGCTGTTCTGTGTATTGGAGGCTGTTGAACAGCACCCCTGGCCTCTATCCACTTAGGTGCAAGCAGCACCCCAGTCCTGACAACAAAAAATGCAAGATATTGCCAACGTCCTCTGGCTGAGAGCAACTGGCCTCAGAGACACTCAGACGCTGATACAGTCGCCCAATCCACAATCCAGGCTTCCTGGGGGAGGTGGCCCTGGCTTTGTTCTAAAGGGTGAGTAAGAGTTAGGTGGCCGCAGGAGTTCCAGGAACAGCACTGAATGAGCAAGGCACAGGTGTGTGTGGGCAGCCACGAGACTTCACGGTGGCTGAGCAGTGGAAGGCAAAAGGGAACAGGTAGGCGGGGTCAGACCATGAAGAACCTCAGAGGTCAAGGCCAGTAATAGGACTGTCTGGAGGGGTGCATGGGTGGCTCAGTCGGTCAAACGTCCGCCTTTGGCTCAGGTCGTGATCCCATCGTCCTGGCTCATCGTCTACTTCTCCCTCTCCCTCTGCAGCTCCCCCTGCTTGAGTGCTCTATCACTCAAATAAAATCTTAAAAAAAAACCCAAAACTATCTGGAATGGTGTTCTGTCAGTGGACCTGGTCTCTGGGAAAGCATCTCAGCTTTACCCTGGCGACCCACCTTCCATAATTACCTGGAGTGTGACTCATTCCCTGTTCTGTTTAACTTACTACGGGGCTGTTTCCTCTAAGGGACAGATTGTGACATCCGGCTTTGAATACCTCCAGTGATGATAGGCTTGTGGCTACTGATACATGGGAGGTGCCTGCTCTCAGCCTGTTTGGAGTGAGCCACAGCTGAGCTGGCCCCACGGGCCTCCTACACAATTGTGGGAGCTGTGGTCAAAGCCCACGGTTGTGGGTCTGTGATTTAGCTGCTAGCTTTAACTCAACAACACATGGGGATGATGATGATGATGGATGCTAACATTGCCCATATGTGCCAGGCACCATGCTAAGGGCAATCCACATATTTTCTTTTACAGCAGCTCAAATCTGTGATCTCAAATGGCTGTCCTGAAAATCGAATGTTGTCTTCAGGAGGTGGAGCTTGATTCCCACCATCCTGAGAGGAGGCTGGATTGAGTTACTTGCTTCCAAAGACTAGAGTAGGGAGAGGAGAAGGATAGTAACCTGGCAGATGTTGCCTTAACCAGGGGATGAAGGTTAACATCCTCAGGGATCTGAGATTGACAGCACTTACCCCCTGATCTGATGAGGCAAGAAGGTTCCCAAACCCATAACCCTGTCTAATTATGAGAAAACATCAGGCAAACCCCGATGGGGGTTGTCCTAGACACCTGGCTGATACCTCTCAAGACTGTCAAGGTCACGAACAATAAGGAAAGACTGAGAAGACTTCACAGACCAGGGAGACGAGGGAGACAGGATGATGAAAGAGAACACGGTATTCTGAATCGCGTCTGGAAACAGAACCCGAACGGAAGAAGAAACCTTGGCGACATCTGAGGAAAATCTGCAGTTTGATTAATAATACGGCACCAGTGTGGATTCCTGAGTTGTGACCAATGTACGGTGGTCACAGAAGATGCTACCGTATGGGAACCCGGGTGAAGTTAGAAGGGGACCCTTTCTGCTCTCTCCACTTTTCTGTGATTCTTAAATTAAAAGCTGAGGGGAGAAAAGGGGCTACCTACCCCCTCTGGGGGTGGGTGGGAGGAGTTAGTCTGTTGTGCCAAGTTAGTGCTAAGCATTATATGTGGATTGTCGACTGTGTGTGTATGGGGGGCAGGGCATCAGCGTCCCTAACCTCCTGCATTGTTCAAGGGTGAACTGTACAATTCTGTTGTTTGAACCACCCAGACTGTGGTATTTTGTGAGGCAGCTCGAGCTGAGGGTTTTTGCAGTGACAAAAGCTGAGACAGGTGTTTTGTGGGCCCTGAGGTATCCACATGGGTTCTGCCCTTAAGGGACCTGGTGAAGTCAGCATCCACTTGGCAAGGGTGAATGGGATGAGGACGCAAAAGGCAAAGGAGGCCACGAGAGAGAATGAGAGGCGATAAAGGAGAGAAAGTGGCTGCCATCCAGAGGGCTGGGCTGGGCCACGGGACTTACCAGAGCTTAGAAAGGGTTTGCCACACAGGGGGCAGCTGGAGTGGCAAAGGAAGGTTCCTTGCGCCAGCTGGTGCCCGTTGATACATTCTTTTCTCTCTCTAGCATCCTGACCCTTGTCCTTTAGAAGCACTGGGCTCTTCCCCTGTGGGGGATAGAAGTGAACCTTAGAATGCCTTGTGCATTCAGACCTACCTCGAATCATGGGGCTCCAGGGCTGGGGGCATACTGAAGAACTAGAGAAGGTAGAGGGAGGTCCCCCCTGGCCCGGCCCCCTGACCTTCTCCTTCTGCCTGGTGACCCGACAACGTAGGGAGCTCAGTCTGCGCTTCACCCTGGTGCTCCTGTTACTCCGCTCAATCTTGCTGGTGCCATCCTCGCTCCTAAGGGATGGAAAGATGAACGAGGTGGGGCAGCAGGGCCAGAGGGCCATTTTCAGCCTGTCCTGCAAGTTGCTCCTGGACCCTACCTGGAATTTGTCTCTTCCTCATGGCCCCCTAGTCCTGTTTCACTTCTTCTGTGGTCCCTGAACTCTCTCCTTTTGCCTCTCACTTATTCACTCAACAAACATTTACAGATGTTTGCAAAGTTCCAGGAACTGTGGGGCTGGGTTTACTGAGGGGACTGTGACATGGTCTCAAGCTTGGGGTCCCTCAGTGGGCAAGGCTGGAAATTCTGGCTCTGTCCATTTCTGTCTCCTCCCTCTGATTCACCCCTGACCCCAGTATCTAATCAGCTTACAAATCCTGCCCATTCTTCCTTTGGGATATCTCTCAAATCCCACTCTCCTCTTCCGTCTAACACTCCAGCCCCAGATTACTGGATTACTGGTACCCCCTCATTTAATAAATACAGTTGACCCTTGAGTAACTTAGGGATTAGGGTCACCAACCCCCTGCACAGTCAAAAATCCATGTATAACTTCCGACTAATAGCCTACTTTTGATCAGAAGCCTTACTGATAAAGTCAACAGTCAATGAACACATATTCTATGTGTTATAGGTATTAGGTGCTGGGTTCTAACCCAGCTGTAAACATGTCACCACGAGAGCCCACTCCAACCCCCAGGCCACACGGTCGGTGGTGGTGAAATGACTGGGTACACGGGGAGGGTCCGGGGGGTAGGAGCCAAGCAGGGCGGCGGGCAGGCAAACGCAGCAGGCTCCGTGTTTCCGGGAGGAAGCCCCGGGGAGGGTGGGGTCGGGGCAGGAGAGAGGGCCCAAGCTGCCCGCAGGCTCAGAGTTGGGGCCCTTGCAGCCCAGGCGGCTTAGGAAGCCTCTTCCCGAAGGCTCCCTGATAAGGGCCCCAAGCCCCGCTGCCCTCCCCCGCTACCTCTAACTCCTAGGGAGGGCACCCGCCGCAGGGACGGTGACGGTGGCCCTGAGGTGGTCCCGCCCCAGTCCCCCAAAGGCCAGAGAAGTAAGCCAGAGAAAAGGAAATGTCATTAAGAAAATCGTAAAGGAGAGAAAATACATTTACAGTCGTATACTCTATTTATTGAAGAAAAATCCATGTATCAGCAGACACATGTAGTTCAAACCCGCGTTGTTCCAGCATCAGCTGTATTTATTAAGTCAGCGGCAAACAAACCCAGCCCCTGTAGAATCGATTCACTGGAGGGAGATCCCACAACTCCAGGCTGCAGCCCCTGCCCGCCCCCCAGCCCTGTCTGTGCTCACCATTATCAGTCACCAAAGAGCTGAGCTCCTTAGTGTCACTGAGGTGATCTGCTGACTTCCCTCCCCTTCCCTCTTCCCAGCCCCACCTGACACCATTCCTCAGGCCTTGCCCTTTCTTCAGGAAGGTGCCTCTTTATTTCCCCAATCCTCCTCTCCGTGTGTTGGTGAACTCCTACTCTTCCATTGGAGACCAGCTCAAGCTGTCACCTCCTCCAGGAAGTCTTCCTCTGCCCTCCCAGGGTGAATGAGGAGCCTCCCCAGGCCCCACCACCACCGTTGCCTTGGCAGGTCCAGGGAGAGTATGGGGGCTCCACCTCCTGCCCCCCGCTTAGGGTCCTGCACAGAGGGCCACTGGAAAGCATGTACAGATCCAGTGCAGGCCCCAGCCCAAAGGTCCCCCCTGTGGTAGGCTCTGCAGACTTACTCAGACAGGAACTCAAACCAGGTGAGGTTTGCGTGGGCTCCTCCGGGGCTGGTTGACAAGCGAGACCTCTGCTGAGCCCTGCAGGATCAAAGGGGACAGGCCCCCGGGTCAGCGGCCCCTCCTTCCCCAGCTGCCCCATCTTCTGCCTCCTCTCTCCCTCCTCCTTCCCCAGCTGCCCCATCTTCTGCCTCCTCTCTCCCTCCTCCTTCCCCAGCTGCCCCATCTCCTGCCTCCTCTCTCCCTCCTCCTTCCCCAGCTGCCCCATCTCCTGCCTCCTCTCTCCCTCCTCCTTCCCCAGCTGCCCCATCTCCTGCCTCCTCTCTCCCTCCTCCTTCCCCAGCTGCCCCATCTCCTGCCTCCTCTCTCCCTCCTCCTTCCCCAGCTGCCCCATCTCCTGCCTCCTCTCTCCCTCCTCCTTCCCCAGCTGCCCCATCTCCTGCCTCCTCTCTCCCTCCTCCTTCCCCAGCTGCCCCATCTCCTGCCTCCTCTCTCCCTCCTCCTTCCCCAGCTGCCCCATCTCCTGCCTCCTCTCTCCCTCCTCCTTCCCCAGCTGCCCCATCTCCTGCCTCCTCTCTCCCTCCTCCTTCCCCAGCTGCCCCATCTCCTGCCTCCTCTCTCCCTCCTCCTTCCCCAGCTGCCCCATCTCCTGCCTCCTCTCTCCCTCCTCCTTCCCCAGCTGCCCCATCTCCTGCCTCCTCTCTCCCTCCTCCTTCCCCAGCTGCCCCGTCTCCTGCCTCCTCTCTCCCCCAGTGCTTCCGTGCACCCTGGAGCCACATCCCAGACCCCACCATCCCTCCATCCCTCCCACTGTGTGCTCTATCCATGATCACTGTGACTGGTTTTCCAGGAGAGGGTGGTAACACATCTTGATCAGACAAAATCAGCATGTCAGGAAGATTTTCTAGCAAACGGCGGTGTCTTGGGAAAGACGCACCGTTTCTCATTGGAGCTAACGTAACTCATGGGCTCCCTCATCCCCGGCTCATGTCCCCTGCCCTTTCCCTCATTAGTCCCTCCCCCCACCTCTCCTGTCCGTGTTTCTCTCCCCTATCTCCCCGTCTTCTCCACAGCTGTCCGCCACCTGCCCACTCCTATCCTGTCCCCCTCCACTTCCCCCCATACTTGTCTTCCGTGTCTGTCTTCCCACCCTGTCCCCTCACACCTGTCCCCCTTCTCACTTACCCATGGCACTGCCGAAGTTCTTGAAGCGCCTGCTGGACAATCAGCCTGGGGCAGGGGGCAGGGGGCAGGGGGGAGTGTGGATAAAAACAGCTCACAGTTGCCCCAGGCCATAGACAGGTTCCCCCAGCCAGCTGTGATTGCCCAGCCAGGGCCCCGGTCCTGATGTAGACCCTGACCGGGAGACCCGACCCCTCCCCTGATGCTGTACTGAGAACCCTTCAGAGAGGCCTGGGTCTCTCCTCTGGGAGAAGATGGTGTGGGAGAGAAGCCCGAGGTTATGGGAGGGTTGGGGAGGGACCCCAGCCTTGACCCTGTGGCTGTCCCCTGGGGTCCCCTCCCCACCACTAGGCAGATACTCACACATGGTCTGGCTCCACGTGGTCCTTTTCCATGCACTCCAGCACTGGGGGCTCCATGCCTGGAAGCAGCCCCCACCCCGGGAGGTACAGGCGTGAGGGGGCTTTGGGGCAGACCAGCCCCACCTGGGCCCCCTGTGACCCATCCCTGCACAACTGGAGACCTTCCAGATGGGGCTTGCCCTTCGGGGAGGAGAGGTACCAAGAGGGTAGAGAGCCAGCGTTGGGGGTGCACCCCTGGGTCTCAAGACTGCGGACAATGTGCCAAGCGCTTTGCGCATGTGCACTCAGTGGACCCTCCAAGTAGCCCTAAGGAGATACACTTATTGTTCCATATTTTTCTTTATTCTTTATTTATTTTAGAGAGAGAGAGTGGAGGGGGGGACAGAAGGAGAGAGAGAGAGAGAAAATCTCAAGCAGACTCCTAGCTGAGCGCGGAGCCAACATGGGGCTCCATCTCACGACCCTGAGATCATGACCTGAGCGGAAATCAAGAGTTGGAGGCTTAACCGACTGAGCCACCCAGGCGCCCTTGATTCTTATAAAACCGCAAGGCTCAGAGACTTACTAGAAAGTGGTAGATTTGGGTTTAGACTTCAGGTCCCTCTGACAGCAGAGAGACACAAGCTCTTAGGACCGAGATTCAGAGATAACGAGGGAGCTAAAGTAGGGGACAGAGGTAGAAACAGAAGAAGAGCCCTAGGGGAGCAAGGGGACTGCAGTCCACCCCTAGCTGGAGGCCCCGGGGGAAGGGGAGGGGCAGGTGCTGGATGCCTCTCCCCTTCCACCTGCCCCCCCCACCCCAGGAATTCTGCCCAGTTCCTTCGCATGGGGCCCCCGAAGCCTCCCTCCCACCCATTAGTAGCCCTTTCCTCTCTCAGGCCTGTCTGGGGCTCCATCCAGGGAACCCTCCAGCAGAAACCCCCTACCTTTCTTGGTTTAAATGAGGGAAACCCTCAGGCTGGGCTACCTTGAACAGCTGGAGTGGGCACCTCCAAAGTGGGAGAGATTTCCAGGGAGCTGATCTCATCGAAGGACACGGGAACGGACCGTGACCTTACTCTTTTCTCAGGGCTGTCACATTCCTGCGGGGAATAAGCATCTCGCTAAGCCAGGGAGGCAGCTCGGGGTGCAGGCAAGCTCCCCAGATGGAGGGCCCACAGCCCCCAACCTCCAGCTGCAGGTAGGGGCACCCCTCAGCCACAGGGCACGGGGATGAATCTCCATAGCGGCGGCTGTGGGCTGGAGCCCCAAAACTCTGAGCTCCAGATTCCAGCCCATCAGGGGTTTCTCCCCAGGTCACGGTCAGGGGCAAAGATGCCCCAGCCACAGGCTACAGCCCTGAGGCTGGAATCCCAGGCCTGAGACAAGATCTACCAGTCACGGGCGGGGCTTCCTTCTAGCTGCAAAGATGCAGAGACCATCTCCTCTACCTCCCAGATTATGGGTTGCACTTGTAACCGAGGGCCCCCTACTGTGGACCCCACTCCAGTGAAGAACCCTCAGGCTTGGGCTGCAATCTCAGGACTCGGTGACTCCCCAGTCTTGCGCTACCCAAGGACAGCCCCGCTGTGACAGGTAAGTCCTACCAGCTACGGGTAAGGAGCTCCTTCCCAGCTGCCACGCTGGCCCCTGGGCCCAGAGTTGTACCATTGTCAGGGGTGGCTGGAGGTGGCACCCACCTTCCCTGGGTGCTCTGCTGGGGTCCCACCCCCAGACAGACACTCCTGGGTCCAGGCCTGCAGATCCTCTCCGGGTAGGTTCAGAGCAAGGCTGGCCAGTGTCCGAGGGAGACAGGGCCCCTCCTTCACAGCCGAGGCCTCGAGGCTGAGCCTGCTGGAAGAAATGAGGAAGGCAGGTCTTCAGTGCGTCTCTTCCAGCTGGCGGTGGCCCCGGCGCCAGCATCCAGGGGCCTGGGGGGACCTGCAGGGCCATCCTTCTGGGGCGGGGAGGAGTGGTCAGAATCCGGAGGGGTGTTCGGTCTCCCTCCATCAGAGGGGTCGTCGGGGGAGTCTTGCCAGCGAATTTGCAGGTAGATCCATGTGTTTGCATGGCAGATTGGATTTCTACTTGCGTGACTTGGGGCGGGGGTGTTGAGGGAGGCAGGTGGGGAAGGCACCGGCTGGTGGTGCGGGCTGACCTCTGCCAGCTCCCAGAGCAGCTCCGCGACCTCTCCCAGCTGCGTCTCCGAGGCAGGCCCTGGGTCTCTGCTGAGCTGCAGAAGGTCGATTCTCCTCCGGCCTCTTCGCTGGGGGCGCCGCTGTCGCCGGCTCCCCCAGGCTGGCTGTCGGAAAAGGCCCCAAGGCCCAGGTCCTGGAGATACTTGCTGCCCTGCAGGGCCCCCAAGTCCATGCTGAGGTCCTCCGTGCTGTAGCTGAGCTGCCCCAGAATACCATCCTCCTGTAGGCCGGTGTGGGGGGAGAAGGCGTTGACCAAGGGCAGCAGAGCAGAGGTCCCGGCACCGAGTCCTTGCCCATCCCCCTCCCGTCCAGCCTGGGCAGTGCCGTTCTCATGGCAGGTGGGGTGAATGGGGGTAGTCCCCCCGGCACTCTGTCTAACCTGGGCCTTCAAGACCTCATTCCCAAAAAAGGGGCCAGAAGCCTGGACTTCTAGCCCTGATGCCACCTCACTCGCTGACGTTCCCTCTGATGGACCTCGGAAAGCGGTGTAATGACCTTGGCCCTAGCCCCTCTCACCCGGCTTGTTCAAGGTCTTCGAATGCAGCTGCATGGACCTAAGTTATCCTGGATGCTAATGCAGAATTTCACGTGGTGTCGGGGCTCCCAGCGCAGTTACGTTAGCGCAGCATTTCTTTTTTAAAGTCGAGTAATGCAATGAGTGATGAATGAGTTACCAAATGTTGAATGAGTTACCAAAATGTTAAAAAAGGACAGTATTGGACCCTGTGATGAATGAGTTACCAAAATGTTAAAAAAGGACAGTATTGGACCCTGTGCTGTACCACTCACCTGGCTCCCGTCCCCTATTCCTGGCCCTGCTCCCTCTTACTGGAGTCTGGAACACCAGCGCTTAAGCCAATCAATACCTTCCCCTCCTGGATGGGTACAAGCCCAGGGGGGCACATTACAAAAGGCTACTGGTCAGCTGCCTCTGCTTCTGGCCCCTCCGTAGCCTCAAGCCACTAACAGGCCTTATCCCTAGTACCACAGTAGCTCCACCACGAGGGGGCACTGTTATCCCACCCTCCGGATCAGAAGACTGAGGCTCAGGGAGGATGGAAGACTCTCCCTGGATCACAGGGCCAACCAATGACAGAGCCGGACTCAAACTCAGGTCTGTCTGGATCCAAGCCCTATGCTCTTTCTCACCCATCTCTCTCCTTCTCCTATTCCTTTTCTCTTCTCTCTCTCCCTCCAAATCATTCTATTTGCCATTTTTTTTCCCCAGTCAGGGAACTTGCCTTTTCTTCTCCTTGGAAAACCTCTTCTCCCAGCCCACCTACAGTTTGGCCTGGAGAACTCCTATTCATCCTTCAAAAGCCAGCTTAGGCATGCCCTCCAGGCTGCCTTCCTGACTCCTCAAGTGTAGGTAAGATGTCCCTTCTCTGGGCTGTCACGATCTGCAGCCCAGGGACTTTCCTTGTCTAGGACTTTGTTAGGACTGACCTCAGACAGGGTTTGGTGGGTAGGAGGGTGGGTGGGCCTCCCCCATTGCTCCCTGAAAAGCCAATACTGAGACATAGCCCCAGGCATCTCTGTGGTCTCAGGCAGCCCTCAATGGACTGTCCCAGTTGGTGGCCTGAAGGGGCCACTGAGGGGACATGGCCCCCCTTCATGGACTTTACAGAAGTCCCCCAGGAGGGGTGCCTGGCTGGCTCAGTTGGTAGAGCAGGCGACTTTTTTTTTTTTTTAAGGTTTATTTATTTATTTTAGAAAGAGAGAGAGAAAGCACGTGAGTGCAGGGGAAGGGGCAGAGGGAGAGGGAGAGAGAAAGAATCTTAAACAGACTCCCTGCTGAGCATGGAGCCCAAAGCAGGGCTCAATCCCAGGACCCTGAGATCATGAACTGAGCTGAAACCAAGAGTTGGATGCTTAACCGACTTAGCTACCCAGGCGCCCTGAGCATGCGACTCTTGATCTTGGGATAGTGAATTCAAGCCCCATGTTGGGTGTAGAGATTACTTTAAAATAAAATTTAAAAAAAAGATTGGTGGTGATGTTAATAAATGTGATTTTTTGAAAAGTCCTCCAGGGGCACCTCGCCCTCTGCCCCTCCCCCGACTGGTGCTCCCTCTCTCTCTTTCTTTTTTTTTTAAATGATTTTATTTATTTATTTGACAGAGAGACAGCGAGAGAGGGAACACAAGCAGGGGGAGTGGGAGAGGGAGAGGCAGGCTCCCCGCTGAGCAGGGAGCCCGATGCAGGGCTCCATCCCAAGAACCTAGGATCATAACCTGAGCCGAAGGCAGACGCTTAACGACTGAGCCACCCAGGCTCCCCCCCCGCCCCGCTCTCTTTCAAATAAATAAATAAAATCTTTGGAGGGGGCCGTCTGCCTTCGGCTCAGGTCATGATTTCAGGGTCCTGGGATTGAGCCCCGCATCAGGCTTCCTGCTCAGCGGGGAGCCTGCTTCTCCTTCTGCCTGCCACTCTCCCTGCTTGTGCTCTCTCTCTCTGTCAAATAAATAAATAAAATCTTAAAAAAAAAAAAAAAAAACCCAGGATAGGATTGCCAGAGAAAATACAGGACGCCCAGTTAAATTTGAATTTCAGATAAACAAGTATTTTTTTTAGTATAAATATATCCCGAAACATTGCACTATTTGACATTCAAATCTAACTGGGTGTCCTGTAATTTTGTTTTTTCAGTCTTGCAACCCTACCCCTGAACCATTTGGCCAGGCAGGGCCAGTCCTTAGCAGGTGAGGGAAAACAGGGAGGCCCCCTACTAATGCTTGGCATGGGGGATTTGCGGAGAAGCTTCCAATTCAAAGTCGAAAGTACCCGGAAAGAGGAGCTATACAGGATCTGTCTTTTCCCCCTGGCCTCACCCGCTGGGAGCTCTCCACAGGTTTACCCCTTCTTTTTTCCTTCTTCTTTGTACCCATTCATCCCACGATGGACACGGGTTGCTTCCACATTTGGCTATTGTGAAGCGTGCAGTGAACGTGGGCGTACAGAGAGCTGTTCGAGTCCCTGCTTTCAATTTTTTGGGGTAGCTATCCAGAAGGGGGATTGCTGGAGTGGGTGGTAATTCTGGGCTTGACTTCTGGAGCACGCTCCATGCTGTTCGCACAGCCTCCCTTTCTCTAGAGTCTCTCCTTTGCCCCCTTTGATCCTTGTCCCTCCCACCTTCCCCAACTGCCCCTTCTCTGGCTCCGTGTCCTCCCTCTGTCCCTTATATACCAGGGTCCCGCTTCGGTCTCTGTGGGAGTACCTACGTCTCTGGTCGTGACTGGCTCAGGCTCGCCTGCCCCTCCTGTGACCTGAGCAGCAGCGTCCTGGCAGGTCTCCTTTTTCCCCCAAATCACTCCAGTCCCATCCCTGGTGCCTGGACAACCTCCCTCTGTTGACTCCTGTCTCCTCTGCCACTGCCCGAAAGGTTTCCTTGTGTCTCTGGTTTTTATCCTTCTGTAAATATAAACATGTCAGGACAGCCTCTCGGCCTGGGCCGGGCCCCCTCTCCCTCTCCTGCATCTGGCCTCCCTCACCGGAGGCAGCAGCGGGCACTTGGCCAGGGCTGGGGGTGGCAGGGGTGGTGGGCAGCTGTGGCCACAGGCCGTCCTCGCTCCCGGCAGCAGGTACACTGAGGGACGCAGGGGGTGGGGAGCCTCAGCCTTGGCTTGGGAACCCGAATCTTTCCTCCAACATTGCCTGGGTGAGAAAAGGCGGGAGGCGGCCCAATGGGGGCCTTTCCAGGCTTCTGACTAAACAGTGTATGCTGGCCCTGACACCCCAGAGAGGATGCAATAAATCCAGGCTCTCACTGCATGGACCCTGGGGAGCCTTGGGGGATGGGCTCCCCCCCAGTCAGACTCAGAGGCGAGATGTCCCAGGAATGCTCTCTGCAGAAGGGCTTACTGGGTGCAGATTTGGACAGTACATGGATAAACTGGTTTTTAAAAACGTGAATAGTTATTTATTTCATGGTATATCAGCAAACCATGGCACGCCAAAGGAGCGTCGAGCATATTGTTTCTCTGGTTCCATTTCATCAGGTAAGAAAGGAGGTTGATATCAAACAAAATAGCAAATAAATGACAGGGCAGCTGATTCTTGAGCAGCTCAAGTGGTAAGAAAACCTCAGTCAGGGTTTGCATCCCTGGTATGACTTTTATTAGCTCAGTGGGACCTCAAGCAAGTCCCAGACTCTCTCTGGGTCTCAGTTTTCTCCTCTGAAAAATGGGTGCAATGCTGCCTTCTTGTAGGATTCCTTGCTGTGTGAGTACAACGGGATGATGTGTGCACTTTGCAAGCCCTGGGTCAGTAGGAGCAGGTCTGATGGTGCTTGCTCTTTTTCTAGTTCGGGAGTCAGGGCTCTCCCTCTGAGGAAGTTGAGGGTTGTGTCAGATGCAGTCACACAGTCCCTCCCCTGCCCTCCCGGAGCTAGGTGCAGGAAGAGTGATGGTTTAACCCAGCCATCATAATCAAGTATGATAGAATGTTCCAGGAAGCAGGCTGAAGAAAAGAACTGAGGAGGGCCAGCAGGCCCTGTCTGGAGGGACAGGAATTCTGGATTGGAATTTTACTTAGAAAATCCCCTCTATTTTAAAGCACTACCCCCAGGGTAATCACTGGGGTAAAAAACCTATTAAGTACAACTCAGTTAGGAAAAGTTAAGCAAACTTTAGACAGCTCCCAGAGCCAAAACAAAACCCCAAAAAACCTATTTCCGACCACATAAAGTAGCGTCCACATGACACATGAATGATCCCTTGAACTGGCCAAGTTTAACGCATTGGTCACATTTCATATATTTAAAAAAAAAGATCTACCTCTTGGGGTGCCTGGCTGGCTCAGTCGGTAGAGCATGGGACTCTTAATCTCAGGGTCATGAGTTCAAACACCATATTGGGCGTGGAGTCTACTTAAAAAATAAAAAGAAAGAAAAGAAAAAAGAAAAGATCTACATCTTACCAGTTAGGAGATAGTAGACTTTCAAGAAGAAGTCCTACTAAATGAAAGAAAGAAAGAAGAAAGAAAGAAAGAAAGAAAGAAAGAAAGAAAGAAAGAAAGAAAGAAAGAGAACCAGGGGGCCTTCCTGGAGGAGGTGACAGCCAATGAAGCCTTGAGGAACAAATAGGAGTTGGCTAGGCAGAAGCTACAGACAAGGGCATTCCAGGCATCAAAAGAACAGAACGTTCAGAAGCCTGCAGGCTTGGGAGGTCCCGGTGCCTTCCAACAACTGGCAAGAGTTCCTTACTGGCTGGAGGTGTGGAGGGGGAACATGGGGCCGGATTAGCAGGCCTGGTAGGTCAAGCAAGAATTTAATCTCTAAGTTCCAAACAGTGGTGGTAGGGAGGTGGGGGTGGGGGCTGCGATTTGTCTTCAGGGAGATCATGCAAGAGGCAGAGTGGAGCTGGGCTCCGACTGGGGCACCGAGGATGTCTGGGGGTGGGGCGGTGACGCGAGGGCTGTGCCCAAGCAGGGCTCACGGGGCTTGCGTGAGAGTGGGGGAGGGAATGGACAAGGACAGTGCCTTCCATTACTTCCAGCTCTGGTGACCAGGTAGATGACAGTGACAGGGACGCAGGTGGAGGGCTTCATTTGGAGGGGGGGGGATAGAGTCTGGCCGCATACTCCCAGGGCGCCTGTTCCCACATCACCACCTCATCTGCCCACTGCCTGCAGCCTACGGTTTTATCTGAAAGGTCCAGAGCCCTGAACTAAACCTGAGTCCTGATCTTACCTTCGTGCATCCTGGATCCTCCCTGACACTTGGGGCCAGGTTCTACCTGCTGGGCCCTA